CGTGTGCAAATCACCAGAAATGACCGCTAAATCCAAAATGGCCGACTTCCTGTTGGGTTTGGGATATGGCTCCAAGAGGATTTTTTGTATGTCAGGATGTGATCTACATGTGTACCACCTTTCATACTCATAGGTGAAACGTGCCGTTGGGGCTGCTCAATAGGGGGCACTGTCGAGCCATTTTTCCCTGCATATGTCCGAGACCCATAAATTCCCACCACGACTGACCTGTGGGCAGAATTTCAGGACTTTTCAAATATGATAAAGCCTCCAAAAAGCCATTTGAAATGTCTGAATAATAATGATAATTCCTACATTTACAATAGGGCCTTCGCACGATTTGTGCTCTGGCCCTAATTAAAACTGCAAGCAGTGATGATGCTGTCGGGGGGCACGTCGGGGTGTGCTGCCGTCGGGTCACAATACGAGCTACGAAAATCTCACAGAAATCACATCCCAATCGCTACACAAAGCTTACTTCCTGTTGCCAGTAGTTGACGCTATAACAGTGACTGAATATTGGCAGTTAGATGCATTTAGGCCAGGGCTCTTAACAAAGTTGTGAAGTTTGGGTCCAAATGGAGAATTTGTACTGCAGTTAGGTTTAGCAGTTAAGTTTCGCAGTAGGGTTAGGGTATGCTGTTTGACCGAATGTAAAGATTTTAATACTTTAACATCCTGAACTTCTCTGTATTGTGCTCACCAATTTTGAGTCAGTCGTTGTGATCAATTCACTTTGGGAGGAGGACTTTGACGGCACGACACTGGCACCCTGTTCAACATACAGTCACAAATAGCACAACTTTTAATCAGCAATATTTTTTGACTGTACTGACCAATTTTGAAGTAGATCCGATAAATTCCCTAGGAGGAGTTTGTTCAAATAGAAGTCCTGAAATTGCTGGAAAAGGCATCACAGTTTGACATTCGATTCAAACTGGCCAACTTTGACGGCACACCGCGGACAAACCGTTCTATGTACAGTCACAAATAGCACAACTTATAATCAGCAATATTTTTTGACCGTACTGACCAATTTTGAAGTTGATAAAAAAAAATCCCTAGGAGTTCGTTCAAATACAATGTGAAAAATGGCCGAAAATTGCCGCAAAATTCAAAATGGCTGACTTTGACGCCACGCCACGAACACGCCCTTGAACGTACTGTGGTAGATAAACAGCATTATGAGGGGTAGTAAATGTATATGGTCCTGGTCAGGAGGTTATGTTTTATTGTAGGAAGTGACCGGTCAGCAGTCGGTCACAGACTAAGGTCAGGAGTGGGTCATA